AAATTTCCAACCCTTGCCCGGAGTGCGAGGCGGACGCTGGGGGCTGTTTGTCGCTTACCCTCGGCACACACGGGGCCCCTGAAGCCGGGGGGACACACGCACGTCCCGAAGTCGTCCTTCACGCCGCCGTTCGCGCACCATTTTGCGGCTGAAGGAGAGAGAGAGAGAGAGGAACGTTTACATCAAAAGTTGTGTTGTGCGTGCGGTTTCGCCGCTTGGTCGACGAGATGGTGCTGGTGTCGACTTTACTCACGGGGGGCCCGTCGCTGTCGGGCGGCTCCCCAGGAGACGTTGTAGCCCGGGACGTAGGCGGGGAGCGAGGTCTCGCCGACAAGCATCACGTCCTCGTCGTCTGCAACAAAAAGCGGCCGTCAGACAGACACCAAATTTTTCACTTATTTGATCTTGGTTTTTCCCTGACTTTTTTTTAAGAGTGTTCACTGATTTTTGTGAGCGCTAGCAGACTCACCCAGGTGGTTGCAGCCGCCCACTCGCTGCACGAGGACGCGAGCTCCCTCGACGGGCAGGTCGGCCTCCACGACGAGCCGCCAGTCGGAGCGGCGCAGGGCGCGGGGCAGGTCGACGACGGTGCGGTTGAAGCGCCACGCGTTGGCCTGGTCGGGCCGGACCCGGGCGAGCGGGAAGTCGGTGCCGTTGGCGGCCCTGGCGGCCAGGCGGATGCCGGCCAGCTTGTCCGTGGCCAGGTACACCAGCGAGACGCACACGACGTCCGAGACGCCGCCCACCGGCGGGCTGACGAGGGCCGAGCCAGGGCCGCGGCTGGACCACACGGCGTCTGCGAAACGGTCAAAGAACGCGATCTTGTATAATTCATACTAACGGCAAATATGAGGAAGTTGCCCAATAAGAGGAACAAAAAGAAGGTAGCACCGAGGGGGTGGCGTGGCGTAGCGCCGACCCTTAACAAAGCAGAACGCCGGCGACCATACTGTGTTTTATCGCGGGTGGATGTGTTATCATAAATCACACTGAGAAAAATATTTCTGTCCGGGCACTAAACGTACGTCTAATGTTCCCGACTTTTGTCCCAGCTCAAAATGAGATAGTGACCGGCCATTGAGTTTTAGTGCTGTGCTCTAAATTTTCTTTGCCTGGGATGCTACGTTTAGCTCCCAGCGGTAGACGTATAGTGCAACGAAAAAACGTCGATCTGGGGACTAAACGTATAGTGCTCAGACAGATTTATTTTTCTCAGTGCAAGTTTTGTAGAATTTGTGAAGAAAAATTGTATCCATTCTAGACCGGCGTAACAACATAGTGTCAAAAAGTGCTTCTGCAAAGTTTGGCTTCGGAAAAGTAAGTTTATACAATCTTCTAAACCGTCCCGGTGTCGTTGTTTAGGTTAGTGTACGGACATATTACATTGGTATAATTTTAAATCAATGATAATGACTCCACTGTGGTAAACTTTGGTATAGGTGGTACCAAGGTGGTGTATAGGCCCGTTCTAAACTGTTTGAAATCTAACGACATGCATCCTAACCTCTGCTAGACCGTCGCTCATCTTCTGCCTTGTTTAGGTACGGCACTACGCCACGCCACCTCCTCAGTGCTATCTTCTTCTTGTTCCTCTTATCGGGCAACCCCCTCATACGACGGGAGTGTCAAAACTTCCCCTCTTTCTGAAAATCGCCAGAATGCAGATCGGATCACTCTGCGGCAGCTGCAGATCGAACTGGGGGTTTCAGATCGGCCATTGTTCAGGAGCGATGATTTTTTTCTGACTTTCCCTTAATTTTTCTGAGTTTTCCTAATTTTTCTGTTGTTTTTTCAAAATTGAAATTTTAAACAGTTTTCCTTGATTTTTGCCAAATTCTCTCACCCCTGATGAAGGTGGCGACGCTGAAGAAGGTCTCGAGGCGCAGGCGGTCCTGCGCGGCGTCCAGGAGCGGCACGGTCACCACGTCCCGGGGGTTGTCCTCCAGCCACACGGCCATCTCGCTGTCGGAGCGGCGCTGCACGACGAACAGGTTGGTGCCGCCCTTCGCGACGCCGGCGCGGGAGCCGCAGCTGATGCAGCGCTGCGGACGGAGCGGTGAAAACCGTTGAAAATCGGTCAAAACCAGTGAAAATCGGGCAAAACCGGTGTAAACCGTCGAAAACCGTAGAAAATCGGTCCAAACTAGCTCTGAGGCTGCTAGCGGCCGTGCAACCCTCTCACCACTCACCGAGTCCAGGGTGGGACTGCCACGCTGCGAGATCTCGCCGTCGCCGGTGATCCACGTCTGGTAGTCGAGGCGCTTGTCCTTGGACACGCCGCGCACGCGCACCACGCTGCACGCCGAGGGCGAGCAGATGGCGAAGCTGATCTCGACGCGGTCGTAGTTGGTGAGGTGGACGCGGACGCGCTCCCCGACGGCGATCACGTCCCCGTCGATCCGGCTGTTGTCCTCGGCTGTTTCAAATAAATCCGACCGATCACAGAGTGTCACACAGTGTCACACGGTGGTGTCACCAAGTGTCACACTATGTCACGCTATGTCATACGCACGTTTGAGGTAGGCCGTCGGCCCCAGTCCAGAGAACATGCGCAGCCGCAGTCGGTCGGGCTCCAGCGGCACCTGGATGGCCGCCGTCTTGTTCTTGGCGTGCCAGACCTGCAGCGAGTACGGGCTGACGCGCGTGCCCACGAAGTCATGCACCGTGCCCTCGGCGAAAGAGGCGTTGGGGGGCCCCCCGCTCTGACGGCGCGAAAGACAAATTAAATTATTAGTAAAATTAAGATTGAGTGACACGCGCGTTATCTTTCAGCGCAAGTTTTCAATTTATTGTCACGTGTTGGGATTTTAAATTAGCAACTTTTCCGGTAAAAAATCGAAACAATTGTGCCCGAAAAATTGGACAAATATCGAATTTTTGGAGAAAAAAAAATAAGAGGTTTCAAAAAATTATCTTGAACAATTTTTGGGGAACCGAAAAATCCCCCGTCACTTTGTTCTCGACTGACCGCCTGCCACTCGGCGCGCCGGTTGTAGAACAGCGTGTTGGTCCTCAGGATGCCCACGTCGTACGCCATCTCGTACTTGTCGTTGATGCCCTTCATGAGCATGGTGGCGCACGCCTCGTCGCTGCACAGCCCGAACGTCAGGCCGCCCGCCTCGTTCTTCCGTGTCGTCAGCCGCACCTTTACCGTCTCGCCGATGCCGACCGCGTCGCCATCTAGGCGCTGCGGCTCTATAGACAGGACGTCGTCGGAGCGTTAGAGGGAGCGTCCAGCAGCAGAGGCTACGCTCGGGGGCTCGGCGCCTGCGAGACGTGGGGTAGGCCACCCCGCCGTACACGCGTGCACTGCAGGCGGGAAGTTGCCTACACATCAGGCGCTACGAGAGCCTGCGTTAGCCTGTAATCGGCAGTCCAAGTCCCTTTTACGCGTCGGGGATAGGTCGAGAGCACGTCAAAAGACTCACGTATAGGCGGCGCGGTGACCGAGGACGCCTCCAGCAGCCAGGCGTCGGTGTCCCAGCCGTCGCACGGGTTGTACGCCGCGCACTCGGGGACCTGATCCTCAACCTCGGCCGCTGCGGGGAACAACACGATGTTAAGACACCGCAAGTGGTCCGCGGAAGCAGCGTGGTGTCGACGTCGTGGTGCTCACCTACGACCTGGCCGCCGATGCGCAGCGGGAAGCCCAGGGCGTTGGTCCTCGCGTGCACCTCCACGTCGCCCTTCGTGGTGAACTCCTGCTGCGTGCCTGCGGGCAGAGGGAGAGAGGGAGCGGCCGTGAGTCGCGGGTCCGCACGCCGTCACGGCCTCAGCCACGGCCTCAGCCACGGCCTCGGCCACGGCCTCGGCCTCGGCCACGGCGGGCAGGGTGCGAACCTTTACTCTTCCATGGCCACATCTCGCGGATCTTGGACCCCCAGTCCGTCGGCCCTGAAAACAAATACGCGACTCGATAGGATTAAGCATATCAAAAACGCATTAATGCCCCCATTTTTGTTTAAATGAATAAATCCCAAAGAACGTTTACCATCATCGCTCCATGCCCGCTTGAGCCTGATGATCGTCGTGACGTCGAAGGGTCCTGCAAGAAGAAGCAGGGGTTTGGTATGGTTGTTGGCGGGACCAATGATGCATGCTAGCATGCGCAAGGGGTACTTCATTACAAATTCAACAGTGCACCGTTTTTCTGTTGTTTTTAAAAATTGTTTTCTTAATTTTTCCCATTTAAAAAAAAAAAGTGTTTTCTTGATTTTTCTTCATATTTTACTTCCCTATTTTTTATTTTTTTTTGGTCATCTGACTTTTTGAGTGAAGTAACCCTCGGATGTATCCCTTCCCACGACGGCACACATGGTGCTCTCGACATCGCCATGTCGTGTCCGCTTGGCGCTTATTCGCCTTCTTGGGCGTCGGGTCGACGTCGTTCATCGTCGCCTTACCCGACTGGGCGCGCGTGCCGGCGGCGAGTACGCACGCCGCGAGCACGAGACGGAGGTTCATCCTCCCGGGCTGGTCGTGGACCGGCGTGCTGCTGCTTGGTCCCCGCCGTGCGAACCTGACCGGCGCGGCCGCGGCACTGGAGACGCGCGTCGCGCCGCCGGGTCGGGGTCGGGGCGAGAGGGCGGTGGGGCGGCAGCCTGAGGGGCTCCCGGACCGGTTCTGACGTCGGACATGACCTCCATGATGAGCCCGGAGCGGCGGCGCCCCGCCCCGCCGTGAGAGAGAGAGAGAGGGAGAGAGAGGGAGAGAGGAGGAGGAGGGAGAGAGAGGGAGGG